CCTTTTTAAACAAGACCTGAGAGGTCAGGTATGGAGTGTTCACCCAGAGGTGATAGGGTGTTTTTGTCTTTTATCATTTTCCTGTGTGAGTTTATTCAAGAGTGTAGTGATTGTCTGGTTTCATCCACATAGTTGTTACTGGGGCATTAGGTGCACTGGATGAGGTGCACCACTTGTTGTGAGAGGCCTGTGATGGACCCATGGATCTTGATAGGTGTGTTGTGGTGGGGGTTGATCATTGTACCAGTGGAGCTGTGTCTGCTTTGAGTTGGGGTGTCCTGGTCTGTGGTGGGCGTGCTTCTGACAATGAGTATGGCAAATTTAGGGGGTTGTTTGAAAGCCAGAAGTGGGGGGTTGGGAAATATTTCTTTGAGGATGTGGTTCCCATTGAGTATGGGTTGTAATTGTTTAATGATACCTTGTAGGGTCCAGTGTGATGTGGTAAGTGACAACTAAGGGTGTGCCTTTATTATGAGGCCCAGGAATATAGCATAGGATATGTGTAGTGTCCATGACTGAAATAAAACGTTGCTTATAGTTGGTTGTTTGGGGGGGATTCTGAAATGTCATAGGGGTTTTTAGGTTTTCCAGGTTGATCTATAAGCTCTGTGTATTGCAACAGGTTTCTAGAAGGTGCATGTTTCTGTGGAGATTTTTGTGCACAGGTGAGAGGATGACCAGCTCATTAGCACACAGCAGTCATTTAATCTCCAAGTCTTTAGTCAGAATTCCACATGGGAAGGCCTGAGCAAGAAGTCAGGGAGTAGCTGTTTCCCTGCAGATTGATTGCAAATGCAGTGGCTGAGGTGTTGATTGGTTGCAGCTGTGTCTGTGTCTGTGTGAGAGACATGGAAAGCTGGGCAAAGCCAGATTAAACAGCCAGGAAGCAAAGACCAATCCAGCAGACAGCCAGAGAAGTAGTGGTGAGCAAGGCCATGAGTGGGAGCAGAGACAGAGCTCCTTGGGGCACATGACTGGTTGGAAGGCAGGCTTAGAAACGGTGAGCTAGGGTGACCAGATAGGAAGGGGGAAAATTGGGATGGGGGGAAATAACGTCCTATAGAAGACAAAGCCCCAAATATCAGAATAGTCCCAATAAAATTGGGACATCTGGTCACCCTACTGTGAGCAAGGAGATTTTGTCCACACACAGCATGTTTCATCCCGGGCTGCAGGGGTTCAGCAAGATTCTCTCTGTAGTTACTCCTCCCAGCTGCTGTTGGTCTTATAATAGAAAGCTGCTGGGGCTGTTGCAGCACCAGGCTGAAGAAGAGAGGTGAGGGAGACTCCCCACCCTGGGCTCTTAGGGTTTGTCCACACTGCACACGAAGCCTGGGTCTGCAGGACATGGACTGGTTGACTTGTGTTTCCAAGTTCAAACTTGAGCATCTACTTTGCAATGGAAACCTGGGTCTCACAACTGTGCTAGCATGTGCATATTACACTAGACCCGAGTTAGAACTGCAGCTTCTGTGGGCATGTGCTACTGTATCCCAGGGTTCCTAGCGCCCTTTCTGTCAGAAATAAGGCCCTGTAGCTGCCCCTCTTCAGTCTCCTGGCAGCCTAAGGATCACAGCAGGGCTGCATCAGCGAAATCACCTGACGGAAAGCTCTTCCTGATTGACTGAGGAAGCCACCAGCCTTGCTCTTAAGCCCAGCAGCAGTTCGTTGACTGATCAAAACATTCACCCATGGCTGCAATAGCACCTGTGCTTGCTTGTTCCCAGCCCTGCTCCTGTCTTGCTCCAGATCCGCTCCTGCCTTGTGCCAAGCTTGTTCCAGCCATGCTCCTGCTCTGAACCCAGCCCTCCCTCTGCCTTTCCTCACTCCAGATACCCCAGTTCTGACCCTAGCGTCTGATTCTTAACTTCTGACTTGGGCTTTGACCCTTGGCTCTGGCATCTGGCCTCTGACCCTGGGCTCCGATTCCTGGCTATCAACACTGTCTCTAAGCACTAAGCCTGACATCTTCTCTTACCACTAGGCCTGTTGCCTGCTCCAACCACTAGGCACAGCTGCCCATGTGCTGATCTGACAGTTTGAGCAGCCGAAAAAGTAACCAAAGGGGAACAAGAGTTGACTAGGGGTCCAGCCCATAACTAGAATGGATCCATCCCAGGCCAATATTCCCCTGCCACAGCTAGTGTGTGCCTAACAGACGCTGCTGGGACACATCACTGCCCTTCAGGCACAGAATGTGGTGCTGCAAGGGCAGGCAGCTCCCTCTCTGAAGACTGATGCAAAGAATTCATTTAGCTTTTCTCCAGTGGCCTTGTCTTCCTTGGCTGCTCCTTTAACACCCTGGTCATCCAGTGGACTTACTGCCTGTTTGGCAGGCTTCCTACTTCGGTTGTACTTAAAATTTTCTTACTATTAGTTTTTGTGTCTTTAGCAAGTTGCTTCTCAGATTATCTCATGGCCTGCCTTATTGTCCTTTTACACTTAACCTGCCAGAGTTTGTGCTGCTTCCTATTATCCTCACTAGGATTTGACTTCAAAATTGTAAAAGATACCTTTTTGCCTCTAACAACCTCTGTTACTCTGCTGTTCAGCCATGCTGGCATTCTTTTGGTCCTCTTATTGTCTTTTCTGATGTGGGTATACATTTAATCAGAGCCACTATTATGGTGTTTTTAAATAGTTCCCATGCTGCTTGCAGGCATTCAACCTTGTGACAGCTCCTTTCAATGTCCATCTAACAAGCATTTTCTTTAGGTCCCCTTTTTAAAGTGAAATGTTACTCTGATTGATTTTTTTTATTTTATCCTATGTTTAATTACATTAAGGTCAGTATTACCAAATGGTTCTGCTAGAGTTATTTCATAGACCAGATCCTGTATTCCACTGAGAAGTAGCCTGTGAGTCAGTGTAAGGGGGTTGTTAGGGCTGGGAAGTGGTTCTTAAGTTGTGCCCGTGTGATATTCTTTCTGTGAAGTTGGCTAAGTGTGAATGTCTGCCAGGATCTGGAACCTCCTGAATCCTGTATTGCAAAGAGCCGGTGTGAGTACATGCTATGTGTGTATTGAGGCATTTCTCATAGAAGGCAGGGGAAAGGTGGAATGGGCATGCTTTTTCTTTCTTTTTTTCCTTTTTGTCCTGTAATAGTGTTTACTGGAAACCTGTGGGTGAGCATGAATGGGTTGTAAAAGGAGGTGAAGAACTTGTACTTTTCAGCAGCTGTGTGATTGGCAGAGTAAAGGTGTATGTGTTAACAGGACATATTGGGGCATTGCTGAAAGAGGGCAGAGTTAAGGTTGTGTGGGCAAGCTTAACTGTGCATTTCATGGGTTTCAGAAGTTTGAAATTACTCAAATCAGCATTCTGCAAGGGGATGACCTACCTTACTTTAGCTCTGTGTGCATGTAGTTCTTTGCCACTGAATAATATCTATGCTGGCCTCTGAGCTACCATTGGTGCTCCAGGCGGACTCCCAAAATTCCCATGAGCCACAGAGCTGCTGGATCAGGGTAGGGCTTAAACCTCAGGTTTGAAATCATTGCCCTTGTGTAAGCCAGAGGTTCAGACCCCAGCCCAGGCTCCCTCACTGAGGGAGATAAACTGAGTGCCTAGCAACTCACTGTGCATGGATCTGCCCTCTGAGCTGTACCTCTGGGGCCTTATAAAAGCATCTATTGAACACCCCTCACTGGGCAGGAGCCAGGTCTTCTATTTGCCTTTCAGTCTCTGGGGTTCATCTCTGCTCCTCAGAGACAGTTTCCCCTTCATTTCTCTGCTGTGGCTAAGAAAACTCAGACTGCTCCTGGGAGGTAACTAGGCACCCAGGTTTATTGGGATTGTCCCAGGCCCAAAGAAGAGCTCTGTGATGCTCGAGAGCTTGTCTCTCTCACCAACAGAAGTTGGTTCAATAAAAGACACTGCTTCACCCACCTTTTCTTTCTAATATCCTGGGACCAGCACAGTGACAAGAACACTGCAGGCTGGTAATTTTGTTAGCTGTATTCTCCTCTTCTCCCATCTTACATCCCACCCTCCTCTCTGCTGCAACCACTTTATTATTTATTAACATGAATACTGTTTTTCCCCCTTTATGGCTCTGCAAGTCTGTGTATTAGGAAGGACGGGGCTCTGGCTGGGACTGATATAGTCAGAGGTGGGAGCTTGGTTTGTTTTGCCTCCCTGCTTCCAGGCTCCATGACACTGTCTGTTCATTAAACTACTCCTGTAGGATGGGAGAAAAGAGACATATGACAAACAGAATTACCAGTAAGTAATTTCCCTTTCATCTCTCTTCTTTCTGGTGAAACAAAGAGTTTTTGAGCTCTGGTGAACACATCAGTTATGAGGGTGTTATAGTTCTCCTACCCTGGTCTGATTCACTTCCAATTTAGTAGAAAAATTCAATGTTGGTCCAAACTTACCTTGATACTTTTCAGCCCAACCTGACTTTCTTTGTGGGAACTGAAAATGGGGCACAATCAGGCTTATAACAGAAACCCACTTAACTGTGGAGCAGGTAGTGCCATTTTATTACAGTGGAGACCCATTGGCAGCCTTCTGTGGAGAGGCTACTGCCACTTTGTAATCAGGTCCAATACACGTCTGAGAGGCGGGACACTGCCACATGGAGAATCCACAGTAGGTGGGGGATGATCTTTTTAAATTTTATTTTCCCTTTTACAAAAAGCTGAGCAGGCAAGAGTGGAGCGGCTGGAGCAGCAGCGCAAGGCAGAGGAGGAGAGAAGGCGGCAGCTGGAGCAGGAGATGAGAGACGTGGAACGCAGCCACCAGGAGAACATTAGACAGGTGAAAGCCAAAATGGAGGAGGAGACCGCCAAGATGAGGCAGGAGACGGACAGAACCGTGGAGTGCAAGCTGAAGGAGCAGAAGAAGCTGTTGCAGCAGGGCTTCACAATGCAAGCCAGGCTGATGAAAGAGGAGATGGACAGGCTGCAGAAGCAGGGAAAAGAGAGAGAGGAGAAGCTGCAGCAGCAATTGGTGAGATTCAGTGGGGTTGGACGATAGTTAGGGTAATGCACAGTGTGTGTTTTCCCCATGGAGCAGCAGTGACAGCTGCTGCCCCGTTTGGGTAAAGCACAGAGTAGATACACTGCATTACCCTAGCTGGCTATGGGATATTTTCTTTCTCAGGGCAGGTCTACACTTAAAATGCTGCAGCTGCACAATTAAAGCTGCCCTGTAGCCTGCTTCAGTGAAGACACTACCTTCTTCTGTAGTTAATCCTCCTCCTGTCAACTTAGCACTGTCTATCCCAGGGACTAGTTTGATATAACTATGTCACTCAGGGGTGTGAGTGTAAGTTTCTTATGTAGTCCTGGCCTCAGTTTTACATTTTGTTTGTCAATTGGAGTCGGGCCGGTCAGATTATCCCCTGTCCCAAATGTACTGGAAGGTAGATTTTGGAGGGATGGGGGAATTCTGTTTTTATCCAGCCCCGTGTCCATGCTGGCCTCCTGAGGTCTTGAGGGAGAAGCCTTTAGGAGATGAGAAGGGAACAGGGAGGAGAGAGGATTTTCCCTTCCTTCCTATCTATCTAACTGGTATCATACTGCCGCCCATCACTGTAGAATCTGAACACCTTCCATGTAAAATCAACAGAGTGAGAAACAATTGATTCATGCCCTGTGTCACATAACGGATATGAACTGGCTACAACGCTCCCACCCCAGGGAGATACAAAAGCTGCATTGTTTTTAAGACACTCTATTGCAATGGTCCCCAATGTGGTGTATGCGGCTGCCATGGTGCCCGCTGGGGCATTTATGTGCGCCCGTCTAGTGACACGGTGTGAAAGATAGCACCCAGCAGGGAGAGAAGCTGCGGCCCTGCACCTGCCGGGGACAGAGAACTCCAGGGCTGTAGGCTGCGGGCACTGGTGTACTCTGTCCCCAGCAGGCACGGGGCCGCCGCGTCTCTCCAGCTTCTCTCCGTGTTGCCCAGAAATGCCAAAAAAAAAAAACAAGCCGCTCAGACTGCCTCCCAAACTGCCAAAGCAGGGGGGAAAAAATTGCTCGGACTCTGCCACCCCAAGAATGGACAGAATGCCACCCCTTAGCATCTATCCCAGGGACTAGTTTGATATAACTATGTCGCTCAGGCACATGCTTGCTCTGCTGGTGCCTGGGGCCAGCCTTGTATGTGAGTATTCTTCTGCTGTACTGATACTGCTGTTTTCTCGTGCTTTGCGATTTATTATTTTTTTAACATGTTGCCCCAAAATGAGTGGTTCAAATAAAAGATAACGTCC